ATACGAGGGATCAAATGCAAATAGACCCAATCGAGGTGGAGGTAGATGCAACAGGTCTCGTGGTGGAAAATAATGCACATGATGATCATATTACCAGGGTTGAAACATCTAACGAGTGGTTAACATTTAGATTGAATTTGACAAACAAAATGTTTGATGAGTGGAGAGCAAGTAGACAAAGAGTGTAATTTTTTGTACCTATATTTGAGAATGATTTTGTTTCTTGAAATTCTACCACCAATACTATTGAGATCAAATGAATAAAATTTAAGAATTTCTATTTTTATTCAACTTGTTTTTGTTTTCTTTATAATGTTGATTATTTTTTGGATTTGCTTTTCATCGATTTATTTTTTTGGTTCAACCTAAATGTTCGGACAAGATTCCTAGTTGTCTTGATAATTTTCTTTTTGGATTTGCACATGTGCTCTATTGAATTCACAAAGAACTATAGTTGTTCATTTGAAATGAATGACCAATTTTGAATAGTCTTTTATTTTGATTTTTTTTTATGAACCTATTTTTGAAGGAATTTATTTTCTAATTTTTTAAAATTTATAGGAGTTTAAATTTTTTTAATGGATTCTCATGTTTTATAATTATAAAATTTTTTACACAATTTTTAAAGGCAATCGTAATCATAAAAAAAAAAATTGTTATTAATTATTTTTAGTCACTACAAAAATTTTGGTTAAAGTTAATTTCATTCTAATGAAAACATTATTTTATCTAATTTAAGAATGGAATGAACATTCCATCCTAGTATTTAATTCTAAATAATTGTCAAACATTAGTATGGTAATACACATTTCATTTCATTCTCAAGTTTATTTCATTCCCAAACTTATTTCATTCTTACTGAAAAATATTATCACGTACCAAACGCAACGTTAGTGCTTTACATGCTCAAATCTTCTCCATGCCGCTTCAACTCTTGATACCTGATGGATTCTTCAATTTTTGCCTTGAGCTCAGTGTTGGGAATCAACACGTCCGATGTAAGACGGGATCGATTAAATGGATCGCTCTGCAATTCACAGCATTATAAATAGAGAACCATGACTTTTAATGGACAAATATTAGCCAAGTAGAAGTGAAGAATGTACAATATCACTTACAAGATGCCTCTGAATGCCGTGATCCCGGAAGAAGGTAACATTAGTGGATCCTTCATCGAAGTGTAGTGCAATCATAACAGATTCATTCAAAGAGGTTGGTTACCCGTCTTCGATTTATAGATTCGGTTTAGTGAGAATAGCTCTAGTTTGACAGCTTAAGCTATGAGTTGAAAAGTGGGTTTAGTGCCTCCTTTAGAAGGAGGGTGTCGGGGATGAAACAAACGATGATCCAGCAAATAAGTAGGGGGTTCGAAATAGAGTTCCAAATTGAGGTCAATTGTTGGGGTTTCGACGATACATCTCTGTCGGTTGGTTTGTGCCACACAGAGGTATTCCGATCAACTGGATTTGATTTTGTCTACAGCAACAATGAGGGTAAGATGTATGTCCCCAAGGGCAGCTTCCTCGTCCATGGCCTCAGAAGCTGCAGCTGTGACTTTTGAACCGAGCTCAATGAATTCCTGGATGATCCTTCCGTCTTCACCAATTCTTTTGAGGACATCCACTGCCGCAGTAGACAACTGAGGCAAACTTAGACCGTTGGATTACATTCAAGCAACTCTACAATAATCCTAGAGATGATGAAAATTCTGAAAAAACCTTTCTCCCTATAGAATAGATCTTAATAGTCACACTTAATACATGAACGTAGCGAAACATTTTGCAGAATACCTGTTCCTCGTATGAACGATCATCCTTGGTGATGGCAGCTGGAAAAATATTTTGTTTATCACTCATTACCCGATGCACATGTATTTTGACAATCTTCATATCAGAAAACAAAAGTCAGTCATGCTCTTTCTTTGGTCTAAGCTTTAACTGAGTCACATAGGACATGTTGCAAGTGACAACAACATAAATAGCATCAAGGACACTCTGAATAACAAGTAATTGCCAGTTAGAGCAAATATTTTATTTGTTTCATTTTTTTTTTCTCTTTTTAACAACACATTAGAGCAATGTTAGATTCCATCTCAAGAGGGAAAGGCAGATAAGTGCAAGATGACGAGTACTCCAACCCAATCACATGGGCACTTAGCTTTGCCACAGAATAAAATTACCCACATCTCTAATAAGGAATGGTTGTGAAAATCAAGTCCAACATTAATGTTGTCATGCATCAGGATCATATCAGGCAGGAGACAGTATGTTCTAGGAACAAATTTGAAAGCCTTAGCCTGGAGGGAGGAAACATTATGGTTGAGTTGAAAGTTAATCCAGCAGCCATCAGAGAAGAAAAAGAAGCAGCCCAGGCTCCAAAAAATACATCTACAAATAAACATCCATCATCCACCTAGAAGAAAAAGGTGAAAAAGAAGAGCACTTCAATGGGGAAAGCAAAGGTGACTGAGGACCTGCTTCTCAGGAAAATCCAATCCCACCAATGAAGAAAGCCTGCTGGAACATAAAGGACCTTAATGATAACTCAAAGCAGGAGGAAATAAAGAAAATAATTGTGGAATATCAATTAGATGTTCTGGGAATTATTGAGACAAAAGGTGAGACAAACAAACAACTCAAGAATCATGCAAAATGTATTCAGGAACTGGAATAACATGCCTAATTATGAAAACCACAATTTTGGAAGGGTATGGGTAGAATGCAATCCTAGCAATGTGGAACTTAGCATGCATGCAGACACTGACCAAAGCATACACTGCAAGGTAAAGTATATTGACAGTAAGGAGCAGTTTGATGTTTCATTTATCTATGGGCATAATGATGAAAGGGATAGAAGAACATTATGGAATGACCTTTATTATCACTCTAAGAGATTCACACATAATCCCTTGGTGGTTTTGGGGGATTTTAATGCCATTATAAGTCTGCAAGAAACTGAAGAATCCCCAAAAAGATGGAGCACAATTATGGAGGAATTTGTGTCTTGTCTGCAGCATTCTGAACTTACTGATCTGAGGTACTCAGGTATTCATCTCACATGGTGCAACAGAAAGGGTCAATGATGTGTAGCTAGGAAGCTGGACAGAGTCCTTGTGAATGAAAGCTGGATTTCTAAGTACCAAGAGTCTGATGCAGAATTCTAACCTCAAGGTGTGTCTGATCATAGTCCTGCTGTTGTGAAACTTGGATTCCAAATACTAAGAAGGAATAGTCCATTCAGATTTTTCAACCACCTGGCTGAGAGAAATGATCTCCTTGAAATTGTTTCTCAAGCATGGAATGAACCAATTCAAGGTACTTCTCAATATCAGCTATACACTAAACTTAGGAAACTCGAGCTTATTTAAAGACCTATCTAAGACATTAGGTGAAGTCTCAATCAAAGCCGAGGCAAAAAGTGCTCTTCAAAGTTGCTAGAGAAGCCTTGATCAAGATCCTCTTAATGTTGTACTAAGAAGCGAGGAACAACAACCGCTCTCTACTTATATCCAAGCTGCAAGGAATGAAGAAATGTTTTACAAGCAGAAATCAAGGATTCAGTGGTTAAAAGAGGGAGACAAGAACACTACCTATTTTCATAGGTCCATGAACAATAGAAGAAACAGGAAAAAATTATCTCATTGATGAGAGAAGATGGGTCTAAAAGATGAAGGGGATCAGGATGTTAACGAGGAGGCAGTCACTTATTTTCAAAGACTTCTTGGAAATTCATCTGCAAGACTGCATAGTAGGGAAATGCTGCAAACTGTAACACTGAAAAGAATCAATGACCAACAAGCCACAGAATGGTGAGAGAAGTTACCAGTGAGGAAATCATGGATGTCTTTTTCTCTTTTAATGATCAAAAGGCTCCTGGACCTGGTGGATTCAATGCATTATTTTTTTAAAAAGCATGAAAAATCATTGGTGAGGATGTCATCTCTGCAGTGAAGGAATTTTTCACCTATGGAAGACTTCTGAGAGAACTTAATAGTACAGTCATTGCCTTAGTGCCTAAGATTCCCAACCCCACTTCCATAGGGGATTACAGGCCCATTTCATGTTGTAATGTTATCTACAAGGCCATTGCCAAACCAGAGAAAAGTAATATCTACATGTGAGCAGTGCAAAAGGAGACAGAACCAAATCAAAGCCATGTTTGGATTTTAGGTGGGACAGCTCCCCGTCAGATACCTTGGAGTGCCCCTCATTTCTACTGGTCTTGTTGATTGGCATGACTCATGAAGCTGAGCAAAATTAGTTTTATTTGTTGCTGTTCTTTAGGATTATGGCCATTTCTTCATGCTATTTTTTANGACTCAAATCTCAACACTGCTCTAATCTCATTGAGAAGGTTGAAACTAGAATTAAAAGCTGGGTTAACAGAACTCTTTCCTATGCTGGAAGACTTCAGCTTGTAAATTCAGTTTGAAGTAGTATGCATGTCCTCTGGGCTTCCCATTTGTGTCTCCCCCAGAAAGTGGTACATAAGATTGAGCAATTACTAAGAACTTTTCTACGGAAAGGCACTGAATCCAACTTGAAAGGTGATAAAGTGGCATGCAAGGAAGTCTGCAGGCCAAAAGAAGGAGGATTAGAAATCAAGAGGTTGAAAACTTGGAACCAAGCTCTCCTCATGAGGCATTTGTGGCAGCTATTTAATAACATGGAAAATCTATGGACTTGGTGGATCCATGTCTATCGCATAAAGGGCAGGAACCTATGGGAGTTGAAAGCAACACAAGTTTGCTTTGGCAGCTGGAAGAACCTTTTAAAGCTAAGGGATTTTTTTAGACAGTCCATGAATCATGTGGTCGGGATTGGAAAAACTACCTACTTACGGCATGATAATTGGCATCCACTTGGCCCTTTATTGCAAAGAAGCTCTCCTAGGATTCTACAAGAAGCCAGAATCCCAAGGGAAGCTAAGGTTAGCAGAAGCATTGAAAATAATCAATGGATATGACATAGAACAGCAACTGAACAGGTTCAAGCAATCATCAATACCTTGCTATCCTACCTTCCCAACCAAGCAAGAGAAGACTTAGTTAAATGGACCTTGTGTGCTGATGGGAAATTTACAGTTACAGATCTTCAAGTATTTGCAGAAGAACACAGAGAACTGAAGAAGAAGAAGAGAGAGAGAGAGAGAGAGAGAGAGAGAGAGAGAGAATGTGATCTCACAGCTGAAATGTAATTTGAGAAAATCATTAGATGATTTTACAACCTCTAACAGAATACTCAAGCTGATTGAATAAATGTGTGCATGTATTGGTCTTCTCATGCTCTGTCATAGTCTTATGATGATCGTAGTCATTTGATGATGAAGAGTAGGCTATGCTGGCTGGCTTTCACAAACTTGTTGTAGTTAATGAAAAGTTTCTCCAATCTCTAGGACAAAAGCCTTGAGATTCTTGGCCGAAGACCCACCATCCTTCATAGCATCCCTCGCCAAATCTTTCCATTTTTCAGCATTTCTTCTCAATTCTTCTGCTCTGTCTCCACCTCCCATCACCATTTCTATGCACCTTTTAAGCTCGCCACCCTCGACAGTTCCTTCTTCGTTCGGCTTCACCCTCACCCCCCTCTTCCACACATCTTCAATCATTTTCGCGTTGGTCCCTTGATCTGTCCACTGAGGAAATGCCACCATCGGAACCCCAGAAACCAAACTCTCCACGGTAGAATTCCACCCACAGTGTGTCACAAAACACCCCAGTGAAGGGTGTGATAATACCTCTAGTTGAGAACACCAAGGCACTATCATCCCTTGTTGCTCCAATTCCTCCATGCAACTTAGTTTATCTTCTTCTTTCTCTTCTTCTCCATTCTCCTTCACTTTAATCACCCACAAAAATGGCCTGCAACTCTCTAACAAGCCTCGAGCGATCTCTTCCATTTGCTTTCTTGGTAGAGACAGAATGCTTCCAAAAGATACATAAACAACTGATGATTTAGGCTTCGAGCTTATCCACTCGGCATAGGAGTTTGATTTTTGAAAGAGGTCACCTCCAAAGGAAGTGTCTGATGGCTCTTTTCCATCCAAGAAAGCAGAAGGAATTAGTGGCCCAATCCCAATCAAATTGTACTTATCAATGGCCTTTAGGGCCTCTGGCTCCAGTGCATCGAAAGAGTTAACAAGAACTGTTGGGCTGGTTTCTTCATCTAGTATTTCCAATTGCTCTTGAATTGATTGGAGGGCATTGAATTCGCCTGAGTTTGAAGGGAGTATAAAGGAGGGAAGGTCATGGATTTTTAGCAGTGGCAATCCGGGTAGCTCAATGGACCATGATGGGTCTTTGCAATTTTCAACATTGATATCTATATAGTCATGAAAGTAATAGTGGTAGATATCCAAAACTGTGGCTGGTTGACTCCAAAGTAGTGCGGCTGCGATGTCAAATTCACGCGCCACCTTTGCAGCCCAAGGGAGGAAGAGCCCATACACTAAGCAAGTGATGGGGCGGCCTTCGTCGGCGCTGGCTTTAATTATATCTCTGAGAGTTTGTGACCCACGGTTCCTGATCTCGGACATCATGTGTTTGACATCAATATCACTTGGTTTGAAACTGCCGTCGTAGCCATCAGAGAAGGCGGCGAAGTTGAAACCAGGTGGTGGTGGTCCGGTGGTTTTGGTCATGCGGCGGTGGGCGTCGCGGCTGGTGGCGAAGGTGACTTCCAGGCCCATCTTAATGAGTTGCTTGGCGAATTGGAGGGATGGTTTAATGTGGCCTTGTGCCGGAAATGTTACAAGAAGGATGTGGCGGTGCACCATGGCAGCGGCGCGTGGTGTACCTTTAATCTAATGTACAACAAAGATTGTCTTTGTGTGGCAGAACTGAGGAAGTATGCAATGAATTTGTGGGCTGCAAATGAAGGAGAATTACATGGAACAAGTACATGGGGGCTTAGGTTTATATGAGCCCAGAGTTGACTCTGTGACGTTTGAGATGACGTATTTATATCTATGCTTACATTTATATCTATAATATTAATAAAAATATTTTAACAGGAGAAATTTTTGATTTTCAATTTTACTCTTATAAAAAGTTATAAATATCACTTTATTTTTTTATAATTAAATATTTAAATTATTTATTATCTTTTTATGTATTTAAATCTCTAAATTAACTCTAACATCTCGTTTAATTATTTATTTTCTCTACATAAATATCAATTTTTATTAAATTTTTTGATTGACTATATTATCTTTAAAAAATATGCATCATTATATTTTCAAGAAAGTGTTCAAAAAAATTTCAAAAACTTNTTCTTAAATTTTTTGATTGACTATATTATCTTCAAAAAATATGCATCATTATATTTTCAAGAAAGTGTTCAAAAAAATTTCAAAAACTTTATCAATCTAATATTACTCATCTCATATGTAAAGATAATTAACATATGTTTAATTTTTTTTTCATTAAAAAATTTAATCATTTCATTTCTAAGATAANTTTATCAATCTAATATTACTCATCTCATATGTAAAGATAATTAACATATGTTTAATTTTTTTTTCATTAAAAAATTTAATCATTTCATTTCTAAGATAAAAAATAATTGTATATATAATTTTTTAAAATCAATTTATGCTACATCAATATAAATTTTTTGTCACAATTATATTTCTAAGTCGTATTAAGATTTTTTTGTAAAAATAGTTTATTGTATATTCTTAAGTAAAACTTAAATTTTTTAAATTTTGGATATGTTTTAAAATATATATTGTTGAATAGTATATTAAAATTTATCCTAATTGACCTATCTAATTTTTCATTGCAGTAAAGTTTTAATGTGAGTAGTATATTGACAATTATTTTTATTTTATACAAAAAATTATAAGTGGAATCCTAATTAAATAAATTTCAAAAAATTTAACTTCTCACACATCATTAAAAAAATCACTCTCTATCATAAAATTCTAAAAACATAAAACTTTAACTATTTTTTTCCATTTTGTTTCTTATAGTTAGAATATCGAATCTTAGAAATATAAAAAAAAATTTATAATCCTATGATAAAATATGAGTAATAAAAAATTAAGTCTGTTAAATTTGAGATAATATTTAATTTACATACATATATATTAAAAGTATGAAAATTATTCACGTTTAACACACGTAGTGAAGTACTAATACGTGTAAACGTCCAATTATAAATTGTGGCACTTACTTAAATTTATGGTGAGCAAGTTATTATTTAGTGTAATCACATGAAATATAATTGACAGAATAAAATACATTATGTTGATGAAACATGTCTTTGGGATCTAAATGGTAATTAGTCAATCATAACATGTTAATTTCACATACGATTGATGCCGTGTTGAAAAGTGACAACCCTATTATCGGTCCATTCTTAGTATGAGTTGGAATCAAGTTAATTGTAATGTTGCTTATTGTTTGGTTGTTTCCGTTGTAGTATATCCTAACTTNCTTAGTATGAGTTGGAATCAAGTTAATTGTAATGTTGCTTATTGTTTGGTTGTTTCCGTTGTAGTATATCCTAACTTTCAAACATCGTCCCTCAATGCATATAGTCTATGTGTGGAGGGGAGTGTCACTTCCCTTTGGAATGATATCAAAAAAAAGGGCAACAGAATAGTAGGTGAATGAAATGTAAGAAATATGTGTGTGAACAAAAATGCTCCCCAAGCATAGAGGGACTTTTGTTTGTCGTGTTTTACTTGGAATCGTATTCCAAGGTCATCTCATCAGGGAATGAGGTATATCATCATGAATGTGATTTTTGTAAAAATAAAGTGTAAAATCTTTTGTTAGTTGAAAGTTGGTTTTTGATTGTGATGAAAATGAAATAGAACAAATATTGGCTAATCCAAATGGTTCACTCCAATAGGAATACCAAGTCAACTCGAATCCTTCCTCCAATAGAGCATAGATGTACGATTGATTCGTGGGAAGTTAGGGATGAAATAGAACTAAGGATCCAAGCATAACCCATAACAAGTCTACGGGATATCAAAGACGCACAATCCTGTTCATCCTCTATCCAGTCAAACGGAACCATCGTACTCTGAGAAGAGTAAGAAAAATGAGTTGAAATAACATACCCAAAAGAAGGTCTCCCTTGGATTAGCCCACTTAAAGGCTTAGTTACTCATGCTTAAGGTCAAGACAACAATGTAATGAGAAGACATTATGAAGAAATAAAAATTAGAGCTAAGCTAATGCAAAAAAACATAAACTAAGAGATAATATATTTAATACCCACTTTAAAATTAAGAATTTGAAATAAAACGAAATGCACAAATATAACTTCCGGAAGATTTATACATGTCCATCACCTCTTTCTAAAGAGTGAATGAGAAACTACTCACTCTTCATGATTTTGATAAAGTTAGAAAAGTGAGTGATGTTCATCCCTCCAAGTAGAGGAATTACAAGGTAAAACATATTACGCAAGGGATCAATCTTCGACAAAGAATGAGTGAATCACGTTCCACCCTTTACGAATCTTTAGAAAAATGTAAGAGTTTCACTCCTCTAAGGGAAGAAGGAAGCCTAAACAATATAAGTAAAAAAAAGCAATAATACAATAAAAAAAATAATACTTAAAGTAAAAGAAAGCAATAATAATATAATAAAAGAAAGCAGTCAAAAAAACAATAATACTTTTGAAGGGTTTTCCACTACCAAACGATGGATGCTTTACAAATCCTAAGAGGTGGTATTTATAGGCAACAAGGGAGGATCAAAGTCTTGTTTGGCGACTTTGAATTACACTTTGATCTCTCTTTGTGTTTGAGTTTTGATAATTTGCACCCTATAGTTTGTAGTTTTGATAATTGTCACCCTATAGTTTGTAGCTTTGACACAATTAGTTTCCCAGTAGTTTGTAGATTTGACACAATTGGCTCCCAGCAGTTTGTAACTTTGACACAATTGGCTCCCCAGTAACTTGTAGCTTTGACGCACAAAACCTTGAAAAAAACAACAATTAATGTATTATTTCTAATTCACACACTAATCCCAATTTAACTTATTTTGACTAGTTTAATTTTATTTAACTAACATAATTGACCTATTAACTTAATTAAATTATACATTAATTAGGGTTAATCAGACGTTCCAACCTAAACATTACTAGTCCCTGGTAATAAATAACAACATAACAAAATAAAATCACTTTTGTAGATAACACAATTGCATTTAGCATATGTAACAAGTCATTAAACCCCTAAGTGATCCCTAGTGGATGAGTTTTGTCTCGTGAAGGTTTTCAATGAGATACCTATAAACTCTAATCGAACAGATGTGTATGTGGGATTGCTAGTTAAAGTAAATTAGCATCATGGTCATTGGGACACTCAACCCTCAATTTTGACTTACATCCCGCAAGCTCCTCTTTCATAGGTATTTATTCTATGCAAAAATTAGCATCAGTCACATTGGCATTTGGAATTTCCTGTGTAAGCATCAGTCACATTGACATTTGAAATTCCTTATGTAGTATGAATGATCGTTCTAGAAACAAGAATTGTTACATAACAAACATTCCACTTTATCACCCTTCATGGATAGCTTTGATTTCACAAACCTCTCTTAGAAACGTGTCTCTCAAAGGGCATGTGATCAGAGGATGACCAATCGAAAAATCACATGCACAGTTAGAAAATGAGTGAAAATCTTAAGAAAGTAGACTAATCATGTTCTTGGCATAATCTCATGGAAGAATATCAATGCAATTAAATAAATACTATTTAACATACCTCAGTTTTTCGGTCGACAACACATACATGCATCAGACTTGAGATCAATTAGGGCTTTGTATAGGTTGTAATGTGGCCAGAGGTCAGTGGCTAATGAAATCACGTCAATGGTATTAAAAAGTTATCCCCTTTTTGATGTAGTGTAGCACACCTCTTTCTTGCTTTTTAATCTTTTGCCTAGAAATGATATTTCTTTCTTTCATTTTTCTCATTTTTTACTTTCTTGGCAATTCCCTTTTTTTCTGTTTCTTTTTTTTCTCGGTTGTTCCCATCGAATTTTCTTTCATTGAACAATAGCCACCATCGTCTTTTCTATTTCTCTTGCTTTTATGTATCATACTGATTTATGAAAGGGTGCAAGAAAATTAAATAACAAGGTATGTCAAGTATATTCTCCGGTAGCTCAGTTATCATACGGGTTTCTTGAAGAAGAAATCATTTATTGAAGGCTCAAACATGGCTAACTAGGGATATAATTTCGTAGAATCAATGACTAAGGCTCAAAATCAAATCAAAGATGACCTAAAATTATTTCTCAAGTATGTGTCCATGTATGTGTCGCAGACAAAGGTTCCCTGTGGGATATGTTAATAGATCACTTTAGTTGCATTAATCAAAGCAAGATTAATGAGATTATTCAAAAATTGAAAGTGAAAGAACTTACTTGAGTAAATGTTGATTGTCTCTCAGAAAGCATTGCAAGACTCAAAACTTACCATGGTATTCTTCGTTATCTCTACTGGTTATGTTAGGTTTTCAAAGAATGTCGTTTATATATCAATTCTATTTTCGAGTCTGGTCATTCTGTATCTTAAGAATAACAAATATCAATGTACATTTGACATTTAAGCATAGAGAAAATACCATTTTTTAAAGAAATGAGGCTTTTTCTTTTTTTTTTTTGAAACTGACATTCGAACTCAAATAAAAATCAAAGTTATTTACATACATATTTATCAATGAAAATTGAAATAAAACTAAATGCACAAATTGAACTTGGAAAATAATAGCGTCTTAGGATAAGTCCTCTACCCACGCTATAG